TTATATGATCGGATGCGCATAGGCATTGTGCCTTTGTGATCCTCTCCTAAGAATGTCCTCCTTTGGTCTCACTGTGTGTGAGTATCTTGAGTCCTGTGTAACTTATCATGTCCAGTTATATTTTAGATCTAGCTTCTGCATATGAGAGAAACAGCCATTTGCCATTTGTCTTTCTGACCTTGGCTTTCCTATCTTAACATGGTTTGTTTTAGGTCCATCCATTTCTTTGTAAATGACATAATACTATTCTTCCTAAAGGCTGTGTAAAATTCCATTGTGTCTATACAGCATTTCATTATCCACCTCTTAATGAAACAAATATCATCTAGCAAATATGCTTGACAAAAATACTCAAACCTGAATCTGATCATATCCAACTTCTGACAAGGTTTAACACATCTTTTTGCAATGCTAGAAATCAGACGCAGGGCCATGTGAGTTCCACTCATGCATTCTATCTCTGAGCCACATCCTCGGCCCCTGGCACTTTATTTTAACCTAAGAGAAACATTGTTGCATAATATTATATCAGTGTTTTTCACATTTGAGTAACCTGGACCTCTTTAAGGCAAATAGAATTCTCTCACAGACCCTCAGTGGTGACTGGAGTTATTTTTCCCCTCTATTACTACAAACATACAACTTCAATGTGAATATTTTATGTTCCTCCATCTTATACAACTGTGAGACCAATCTCCATTTACAAATCAAATGCAAACCGAACTACCAAGCTAATAAAATTCAGACGAACAGCACCAATTTCATGGGAAGGAAGACATTTTGCTGAACCAACATTGTTTATAAAGGTGCAAGGTCTGATCACTGGGGTGAAAGGTCTTTGCTTTCAGCACTGTATAGAATGGGTTGACACAATTCTCCCAACCACTTTTCTCAAAAAACTAGAGAAAGTTCTTCATGCTATGAGGTGGGACCCACTTGGTCTTTGCAGGAACTCACCATTAACTGACTGGTGCCAGGATGAGCAGTTGGAGTCTCAGGGGAAGGCTTTTTCTTTGCTGCCAGCACTGAGGCCTGAACTCAAGAGCTTTGTGCTCTTGCTTAACTTTTATCCATTGAAAGTGGGAGTTCTACCACTTTGATCTGCATCTCTACTTCTAGCTTTTTGCTTGTTGATTGTAGATCAGTCGCTCACATATCTGTCCTGGCTGGCTTTGAACCTGTGATCCTCAGGTCTCAGCCTCCTGAGTAGCTTGGATTATAGACATGAGTCACCAACACCTGAGCAAGGTATTATTATTATTATTGTTGTTATTGTATTTTGTTGGTTGTGGGGCTTGAACTCTGGGCCTGGGCACTATATCTGAGCTCTTCAGCTCAAGGCTAGCACTCTACCACTTGAGCCACAGCCCACTTCCCATCTTCTGTTTTGTTTTTGTTTGTTTGTTTGTTTGTTTTTGCCAATCCAGGAGCTTGAACTCAGGCCTGGGCACTGTCCCTGAGCTTTTCTGTGCTCAAGGCTAGCACTCTACCACTTGAGCCACAGCTCCACTTCTGACTTTTCCTGTTTCTGTGGTACTGAGAATCGAACCCAGGGTTTATGCATGCTAGGCAAACACTCTACCTCTAAGCCACATTCCCAGATGGTGGCATTATTATTATTATTGGAGATAAGAGTCTCACGGACTTTCCTGCCTGGGCTGGCTTTGAACTGCGATCTTCAGATCTCAGCCTCCTGAATATCCAGGATTACAGACAGGAGCCATCGGCGCCCTGGTTATTCTTTTTAAAGAGCTTTCTAATGTGCAGCCTGCATTGAGAACAACTGATTTTTGATAATCTAGAAAATATGTATATAGATTGCTCTTTAGAATATGTCAGGAACATTCCCTTCCCCCTAACCAGAGGTTTAAGAAGTTGGATTGGAGCTTGGTTTCCAAGCATAATTGGGTAGCATTGTGCAATTTAGATTCCCGGAGGTTTAGTTTCTCAGAATACAAAGAAACTACTAAGCTGGGTGTGATGATACATGCCTGGAAGCTTTCAGCTTCTTGGGAATCTGAGGCAGGAGGCTTGCTTGAACCCAGATGTTCGAGGCCAGCCTGGGCAACAGAGCTAGACTCTATCTTGGAAAACAAAAGGTAACTTATAATAGTACCTACTTCATAAGGTGGTTGTGAGAAATAATAATGTATATAAAGTATTAAGCTTAAGCCAGATTGGTACAAGTGTGTGCACACACATATGTATGCATATGATTTTTTTTTAGATCATGCCTCCTACAATGTTGTACAGGCTGGCCTTGAATGTCTGGACAAAAGTGATCCTCCTGAAGAGCTGGGATTACAGGCATGTGTCACTCTGCCCAGTAAGATTTGCTTTATAGCTCAGTTGTATTTATTTATGTATTTATTGTCGGTCATCGAGTCTGAACTCTGGGCCTGGGCACTGTCCTTCAGCTCTTCAGCTCAAGGCTAGCTCTCTACCACTTGGGCCACAGCACGACTTTACAGCTTTCTCTGCTTATGTAGTGCTGAGGAATCGAACCCAGGGCCCCCATGCATGCTAGGCAAGCACTCTACCACTGAGCTCAGTTTTTAAAAAGGTGTCTTTGTAACTGAGTTAAACATTCGGTGGATAGTGGACTGATGTTGTGAGGTTTCCGTTTCTAAATTTGCCCTTAAGTGCATACAAAAACTTCATAAAAGCCTTTGTCTTGACAACACTGGGTCTTTAAGCCTAAGCACTAAGAAGAAAGAGGAAACAAAGACATATTTGTAAATCACTTGGTAATTTATCTTATTCATATATTTAACCACAGTCAGCATGTAGTTGTTTTCCTCTAAGAGGCTCAGTTTCCAAAATACAATTTTCAAAATATTTTACTTCCTCACAAGGCTCTTTGTGTTCAGTTACCCTTTGGTTTTTGCCAGGGCCTTTTGTGTTACTTGCCATTCTACCAGGGCTCTGGTTGAGAACTGATGCCGTCAGCCTGCTTTCAAGGCTGGCTCTGAGTCACCAGTAAATCTCAAAGCACTCCTGTGTTTAACACAATATGTGTTCATACTTTTCTGTGCGACTGCCTTCCAGACTAGGATACTGATAGATGGGAATACAGGGCAAAAATCTCCTTCCATTAGAGAGCTCAGTATTTATTTCCTGGAAAATACAGATACAAAGGATTGCTTTTCAGGTATCTTATGACTGCTTTTGGAAAACAGTCTTGGACATGATTCTACAGTGGTTCTTAGCAACTATCATTTTCGTTATCATGGAAATTAGTGAGTTTAAAAATGTAGGCCAATGTAATGAGTACTAGGAGTTCACATATCTAAGGAGAAAACTAGCTTTTCTCTGCCTCTTAGGTTGTTTCCAGTCCTTGAGAAAGCATTTGTTTACTTCTCCTTGGTAGTTTGAAAGGCTCCTATTGTTTCTGTATTGTAGAAGTCGATTAAGTTATTGTAGTACCACAAACTCACTCTCCAAATAGGATGTCAATTGATTTGATTTGTTCCTGGCTCAAACTTTTTGTTTGCCAGTTTTTATTTATAAAATTGAGGAAATTGTGCAGTTTTTATTCCTGTCCCATTAGCAAAGTGACCCACTTGCTTTACCTTCAGAAAGTATCTCCTGTGAGATAAGATTGAGGAGTATGTATTTTTCCCCCAGATTCCTTTTTGTGTTAGTACTAGGGCTTGAACTCAGGGCCTACGTGCTGTCCCTGAGCTTTCTTGCTTATACATGAGCCACTGGTGCCTGGATTTTATTTTTCAAGGTTTTTAATGCTTCACAATCCCACCATTTGATTCACTTGTATAACAATGGGCTTATTTATTTTTGGCCTGTTGCTCTGTGTGTGTGTGTGTGTGTGTGTGTGTGTGTGTGTGGTGGATATTGAACTCAAGATCTGGCCTGTTGCTGTGTGTGTGTGTGTGTGTGTGTGTGTGTGTGTGTGTGTGTGTGTGTGCTGGATATTGAACTCAAGGTCTCACCAAAGCTAGGCAGGTACTCTAGCACTAAGCTACAATCCTTTTTTTTTTTTTAATTTTATTTATTTTTTTATTGTGAGAATACTGTACAAAGAAGTTACAATTACATGGGCAAGATAACGAGTACATTTCTTATCAAGCATTGTTGCCTCCTCTTTGTTTCCCCTTCCTATCACTTCCCATACTCCTTCCCTCCCCTCATCCGATCCTCCCCCCACCTCCCACCAAAGTTGTTAAGTTTGTTTTTGACATAACGACTTGTACATCTCATTGTTGCAATGGGTCCACCTGTATCCCTAGTTAAACGATTTGATTTTTTCCCTTCCCCTCCACAAATTATACCAATATCAAATACAGTGAAAGTATGGGTTATACTGTGGGGGAGGGACATACAAAGCAACATAGAAATCATCTTATAAATATGATAGAAACAATTACTAAGCTACATTCCTAAACCTAAAATCTCTTTTCATGTGCTAGCGTCAACTCAGGACCTTGGGGCTGTCTCTGAACTTTATTTTTTGCTCAAGACTAGGGCTCTACTACTTTAGCCACGGCTTCACTTCCAACTTTTTAGTGGTTAATTGGAGATAAGAGTCTCACAGGCTGAGTGCCAGTGACTCCTACTTATAAGACTAGTTACTCAGGAGGCTGAGATCTAAGGATTGCAGTTCAAAGCCAACCCCAGCAGGAATATCTGTGAGAGTCTTATCTCCAATTAACTACCAAAAAGTTAGAAATGGAGCTATGGTTCAAGTGGTAGAGCATTAGCCTTGAGCAGCAAACCTCAGAGATAGCGCCCAGGCCCTGAGTTCAAGCCCCAGGATTGGCATAAAAAAAAAGATTTTTCCTTTCCAGGCTGCCTTCGAAACAGTCCTCAGATCTCAGCCTCCTGAGTAGCTAGGATTACAGGTGTAAGCCCTAGGCACTTGACCCAGACCCAAAGACCTTTTTAACCAATTGTAGTAATCCAGTGATGTTTGATGAACATTTTTATTAGTGGCCAAGAAAAATGTATAAGAAAGGATTAGTAAAAATGCTCACACCAAACAATTAAATCAAAGAGTAGTTTATTAAAAAAGAATCAAAACAGAAACTCTAAGTACCAGTGTGTACATTGTACACATTTAAATGACTCACAAGAATGAAGTTTTTTCAAATATATTATGATCACACCACCTTGTTTTGTTTTGTTTTTTCTTATCAAAAGCTGTTCAAGGAGAATCCTGACTCCAAACTGCATCTATGACTGCCATTTTAAACAGACCGTATTTCAAACATGCGACAACGCCACTGGTAATAAAGCTTTGGAATGGGTGCTCATTCTATTATTTCACTACAAGTAGGATAGAAAGCAAGGTAAGTTGAGAATTTATTTTAAAATAGAATGGAGGTTGTCAAATTCTACACTAGCACTCCTCACTCCTCTGCTGCCATTTTTAGCAAGTACTCCTTGTCAATCTTGAAGAGTCTCCACCCTTCTTCACTGGACAGATCAGAAGCCCCTCTTCTCTTATAGAAGTTGATAGATGGTTCATTCCATTCTGCCACCAAGAAGTGCATACTGCTGCAGCGACACTTCATGGCAACCTATTGAGAGAAAGCATAAGCTCAAGTGATGTTTCATCTCCTTTCCAATACCTGATTTGGAGTCAAATCATCCCATGAGCCCATTACCATTACAGATTCAGAAACCAAAAAATCTAGGACATACCTGGCTTAGATTCTTCAAAATTTCTGATCCTATACCAAAGCCTAAAAGAAAATGGAGTATAATTTTTAGAAGTCCCTGTAAAGATTTATGGCCCTGATGTTTCTTTAGACTCCCCCTTCCCATTCCCAAACACAACTGTACCTCTATAATCACTCATCACAAAGAAGTCTTCAAGATAGAGTAACTTGCCAATCCATGGGTCATAGGTAAAATAGTACATGGCAAAACCAACGATGCTGTGTCCTGTAATAAGAGTATGTCATGAGCTATAGAGCAGAAAACCAATCCATTAAAGCTGTAGCGGCAGAATCAGAAGCCTATCCTAGAGTTTAAAGAAATATACATGCATGTATAGAGAAACAAGTAGCCACCAAGCAGGACTGCCACCTGACTTAGGCAAGTGCAGTCTAGGCCACCATTGCTCTATCTCTCTGTTCTCAAACATGTATTTGCAAAAAGCATACATTACAGCTAGCCAAAGCCAGGCTAGATCCATAATCTGGCTATGCAGTCTGCAGAAATCTCACTCAGGAAGTGAGAATGTTTTCATTGCCAGAGAAAAACTGCTGTGATCTCAAGCTAAACACACACAGTATTCACATCCTAATGATATACTGCTATGCCAAGTTGGGAAAAAATGGTTTACACGGCAGTTCAGAATAGGAGCTATTTCTAATTTACCAATTCTTGCTTCCTTAAAATTCAGAACATCAGGCCAAAAGTACAATGTTTCATTTCAGAACTTGGCTTCCAACTTAGAAAATTTCAATTTGTTTTCCCCAGTTTTAAAGCCAGAAGCAGCAGCAGTAGCCCTAACCCCAAACAGGTATTATGTAACGCCTCCGAAAACTACCTCATCCCTTAATTGGTTGCTCATTTCTTCTAGCTTGGGGAACAGATGGTAGAGAAAAAAAAAGCCCTTAAGAAAGCACCCACCCAAACAACTTCCTCTTTTAGCTGGCTACTGATCAGTCAACAGGAGCCAGCAAAAAAAAAAAAAAAAAAAAGAAAAAGAAAAAGAAAAAAGAAAGAAAAAGAAAAGAAAAACAAAAAGAAATGGCATCCGACTCCCTCATAAGGGGTGCCTATCTATTTTCCAAATAGAGGCAAAAGTTTCAAATTAAACTTTCTAGCCATTTTCTAGTTCTTTGCAAACAGACAGGAAGCAAGTATTATAGTTTCTGATCTACTGTGTTGTAAGTGTGTGGTAACAGGGCCTTACCTCATTTATCATGATCATCTACTTTATGTGTAAAGGATCTTTTAGTTACCTCCCCGCCCATCCATGTACACGGAAGGGCCATGTACATGGCGAAGCTAGAGACTGTAACCTGAAGATTGGGACAAATTAAAGAAAAAAATGTGATTTAACGCAATTACAAAAAAAAAAAGGTTAGGTTAGGGTCAAACAAGAACCATTTTATGAAATTGAATTACAACAAACAACATTATACCTAACTCTTCCGGGTTTCCACAGCACTCTGATATTTAAACAGCTCTTTTCACCCGCCCTATTATAAACTGCAGCACATCTTTCTTTCTCTCTCTCTTTCTCTTTCTCTCTCTCTCTCTTTCTCTCTCTCTTTCTTTTTTGGCCTCAGTAAAGTTGAAGACTGGCTATTATTTCCGGCCAACTTCACAGTAAGTAACTTCGGCCCGTGTAGTTAGAAGGTCTACTCAGCAGACCCTAAGATTTTTACAACACTTGGGCTCTCTGGCTTCGGGGGGTTACCTTCCGGAGTCCAGTGCTCCTTGGGCACTTCTGCAACCAGGCAGTGGTAAAAGGGGTGCTCTCCGAAACCATCTTCTAAAAGATCTGCAAGAAAGGGGGGCAGCCGAGACGGTGTTAGTCTGTGAAGGTGATAGGTACCCCACACCCGTCGTCTCCCCTCACCCCGCCACGGTTAACGTTACCTTTTTCAGTTAATATGACTTGGTCTTCCATGTATTCATATTTAGCCAGTTCCTGGAGGCGGTGCACAAAGAAAGAGAAGTAGGGAAAAGAATCATGAGACTCTGACCTCAAAGGATTACAAGGAAAGAATGGGCCAGACAGAGTTGGGGTGGTGCCACATTCCGGTCCCACCAGGCTTCGGGTTGGGGGTGCGGGGTGGCGAACAGAACAGGGGGGGAAATCTGCTGATCTCCCGCACCAGCTCAGACCCCCCCCCCCCCCCAGCCATGGTCTGAGCCACATCTCCACCCTCGCCCTGGGATGAGTCCCGGTGGTCCAACCTTGATCAGCCGCAGGATGTCACCGCAGTCAGCTGCGGTGGCTGGGCGAATCACGAATTTAGCCATTTTCGTCTTTTGCTTTTCTTCCCTTTGCGGACTAGGCCCCTGTACTTGAACAGCAGGAGGAGGTGGTTCCTCATTCGTCTCCCGGGAGCGTCCTCTTCTCAGTCAGGCTGGCACCATGACCCGGCGAACCTCGGTAAGTGACGAATGTCCTTCAGCAGAGTTGCAACCCGTAGCAGTGTGCTGAACCTTGGGCCGGGCGCTGCTTTTCAATGTGAAGAAGCCCCGCCCCGGGCCGTGAGACAAAGGCGTCGTGTCCAATGAAGGCGCGACTTGCAGCGCCCCGCCCTCCTTTCCGGGCACCTCCTTCTCTTCCGGGCTCCCGTGTGAAAGCCTTGCGGGTGGGGGTGGCGGCCAAGAGCGTGTAGTGTGCTCTGTAGCGGCGCCCTCTAGTGGCGCCTCGCGGAGCCTTCTCGGAAACCCGATCGGAGTGGCCCACATGTCCTTCAGTAACCTTTGTGTAAGGAGAGGGGAATTCCCTTTGTGACTCCGACTAGCCAGTGACCTTACAGCTTTGTACTCTGGGGTGTGAGGAAAACAAAGCTAAGAGACCTGGTCTTTGGTGATGGGAGGAGGATTCGGGCAGCCCTTCTCAGAGTGCAGTCCAGTGGACTCCAAGGGTCCCAGTGCCCTTTGCCTTTTTTGCTATTGGAATTTTCCACAGGCAACTTGATGTGTGATGATGTCATCACTCTGATGACTAAAAGAATGTGTGCTTGTATGTTCTTGTGTTTTCTAAAGTTTCCTAAGCTCTTTGGACCCCTCAGTAATTTCTTTTCTTTATGGTTATAACATTTAAAGTTAAATGCTTTGCTTTTTCCTTCTTAAATCTCTGATCTCTTTTGTGGAAACACTTTCCTTCTAGCTGAGGTACATTCTTCTTATTTCCCTTTACTGAAGATCTGCTTATGTATAAAGCTCCCAGACTTGATTATCTGTGTCTCTAATTCATCTGAAAATTCTTGTTCTTTTTTGTGCAAATACTGAGGCTTGAACTTAGGGCCTAGTCACTATCTTTCCATTTTTTCCCCCACTCAACACTAGAACTCTACCACTTGAGCCACTGCTCCACTTCTGGTGTGGTGTGTGGTGTGTGTGGTGTGTGGTGTGTGTGTGTGTGTGTGTGTGTGTGTGTGTGTGTGTGTGTGTGTGTGTGTGTGTGTGTTTAATTGGAGTCTCAAGGACTTTTTCTGCCTGAGCTGTATTTGTATCATGATCCTCAGATCTCAGCCTCCCGAGTAGCTAGGATTATAGGCATGAACTTTATCTGAAAATTCTTGAAAAACTTAATTCACTGCTTATAGACTTTGAGTTTTGGGAATTTTCTTTCAGTGCACTGACATGTAACTATCTCCTGGCTTCTATTGGCTGTTAAAAGTTGTAATGCTACCTTGTAATCATGATGCTTTTAGTTCCTTTAACTTTTTTTTGGGGGGGGGTTGGTTGTGGGGCTTAAACTTCAAGACCTGGGCACTGAGCTTTATTGCTCAAGGGTAACACTACCACGTTGAGCCACAGGACCACTTCCAGTTTTCTGGTGGTTAATTGGAGATAAGACCCACTGACCCACTGCCTTTGAACGGCAATCCTCAGATCTCAGCCTCCTGAGTAGCTAGGATTACAGGAATGAGCCACCAGTGCCTAGCTAACTTTTTATTTTGAAATGATTACATACATATTTACAGGATGTGCAGTGACATCATTGCTCTGATGACTCAAAGAATATGTGAGTGTATGTTATGTTTTCTAGACTTTTCAAAGAGAAGCTATTTGGATTTGATAAATGTGAAGGGTACTAAGATCAACATGTTTGGAAACAGTTGGATTAGAGTATATCTATTTCTAGTTGTACTTGCTGGGACAAGTATTCAAGCCTCTGAGTAATGACTGTTGGTTTTTCTTTTCCTTTTCCTTCCCTTCCTTGTCCTTCCTTTCTCTTCCCTTGCCTCCTGTCTTTTTTAATTTATTTTTTAAATGCTGGTACTAGGTCTTGAACTCTGGGCCTCATACTCTCACTTGCCTTTTTCTCTCAAGGCTGGCACTCTACCACTTTGACCCACAGCTCCATTTCCAACCTTTTACTAGTTAATTATAGATGAGAGTCTCATGAACTTCTCTGTGCAGGATGGCTTCGACCTTTGAGCCTCAGATCTCAGCCTCCTGAGTGTCTAGGATTGCATGTGTGAGCCACCAGTGCCCAACTCTATCCCTCCTTTTTTCCTGTGGTATTAGGAATTGAACTCAGGGCCTCACACTTGAAAGGCAGGCGAGGATTCTACCACTTGAGCCACAAACATGGCCTATTTGGATATTAGTTTGTTTTTCAGATAAGGTTTCATGTTAACTTTGTCCAGCCTAACTTGGGTCCAGGATCCTCCTACCTCTCTGCCTCTTGAGTCTCTGGGATTACATGCATTTGCTACTATGATCAGCTGACTTTTCTTTTATAACTCATTTCCCAGATAGACCCTGCTAAGGCTCCTTTTGTAATGGCCCTGCCTGGATTCCCTAGTGAGTCACAGGATGTTTTTCTATGGTGAGAGAAAATGCAAAAGGGGCCTGCAGCATCTTTAGTGTGCAGATGAGGGGTTGTACTGTTACCAAATGACCACTCCTAATATTCAACAAGTGACTAGGCTTTTTTAAGCAATATCCTGTATGCAGGAGGGCGGTCTCTTATTACTCCTCCCACTCTTCTGGGAGTCAATGTATAGTGACTCACTGTGGGAATTTATGCAAGGTCTTTTTCAAAGAACTTTAAAAATAGCATTGATTCCAATCTATCTAAGTTGCTGCTAGTAGTGCCCTTTTTGACACCTCACTAAATACTAGAGCCTAAGGAAAGCTAAGCACCAGTGATAAGCTAAGCTAAGCACCTCCTTGAAGCAAAAGCAAGCAAAAAGTTTCCTATTTGGATTGCCTTTTGTGTATGCGTGTGTTTGTGTGCCAGTGCCAGTACTACAGCTTGAACTCAGCCTGGACACTGTCCCTTAACTTTTTCTGTTCAAAGCTGGTGTATTACCAATTGAACCACAGCTCCACTTGAGGCTTTTTGATAGTTAATTGGTGATAAGAGTCTTCTGCCTGGGCTAGCTTTGGGCCTCAATCCTCAGATCACAGCCTCCTGAGTAGCCAGGATTACAGATATGAGGCACCCGTGCCTGGCTTGATGGCCCCCCTTTTTTTTAAAGAACAGCAATCCATCCTTCCATTTGGTCAACTTTTATTTGGTTAATAAATCAGCATGAAGTATTTATTGAGTCTTGCATTTGAGGCTTACCGAGTTTTGCAAGTAGCCCTGCAAGTGTGCAATTTACTTTTAGACATGTGTTTGTATTTTATTTTATTTTTATTGTGAAAATACTGTACAGAGGGATTACAACTACATGGGAAAGATAATGAGTACATTTCTTATCAAGCATTGTAGCCTCCTCCTTTGTTTCCCCTTCCCATCCCTTCCCATCCTCCCTCCGTCCCCCCAATCCTCCCTGCTACCCACCCCCACCAAAGTTGTAAAGTTCATTTTTCAACATAATGACTTGTACATCTCATTGTTGCAATGGGTCCACCTGTATCCCTATTTAAACGATTTGTTTTTCCCCTTCCCCTCCACAAATTATACCGACATCAAATACAGTGAAAGCAGGGGTTATACTGTGGGGGAGGGACATACAAAGCAACAAAGAAATAATCTTATAAATGCGTTAGAAACAAATGCATGAAAGAAAAAAAACATTTGAATACATATCTTAGGGTTCATTTCCCTAACATCACCTTATCTGACCTTTTCTGCTTGACTCAGACATATACTAGATATGGCAAATAAGGGAAACAATGGGACCTATGTTTCTTTGGGGTGTTTGTATTTTATTAACATCAATGTTAGTCTTTGTGACAAAGAGATGTCCTGTAACTGAAGAGGACAGAAAAGAAGGGAGAGTAGGAGGGAGGAAAAATGACCAAACCAGGTTGACTTGGGTGTTTGCCATCCATCGTCTCATTACAATTATCTTGAAGCAGGTTATGTGTGCTCCATCGTTACAGTTGAGAAACCTGGGACCCACAGGGGTTGCAGAATTGCCAAGGCCAGGAAGTGATAGAACTCTGAATGTTTATGACTTATGATGGTTTTATTGGCCCAAGGGCAATTGTTCTCCACCATGAATTTTCGTTTCAAGATGCCAAAAAAGGCAAGGCCTAGGAGTTCTTTATGGTATCTTACTTGGTCCACGTGGCCAGAAGTCAGTTATTTAAACACAGATTATTTTATCCCCTTGTTGTAGTTATCTATAGCCACCTCACAGATAACCCCAAACTGAATGGCTTAAAATATCATGCATTTATTACAGCAGTCTTTGGGGATCAAAAGTCCAGTTGTGTCAGAGTTGGGTCCTCTATTCAAGGTGGGCAATTCACATTGGGAAC